ATAAAGAAGATTTGTATTTAATTATGAAAATAAGAATGACCAAAATGTCCGGAAAATCGAAGTTGCTTTTGACGCAAATAAAAAAAGGTCCAACGACGTAAATATTATATTTGATTTAAAAAAAAACTGACATTGTCTTATATTAATTGATAATTATAAAAATTAGAATATTTCCGAATATTATTAAATATTATTTTCAACGGAAAAAAGTTGTTGAGAAACGTTTTCAAATATTAAACTTCGGTCAATTTCATGTGAACACGATAAAAGTTGTCGGATTTGTTTGTAACTGTCGTCCGATGGGAACGATTCTTACGAACGATGGGAAAGTTTTAATATAAGAAGTTTAAGAAGGTTGACTTGCGGAGGGGATGGGTGATTGTATGAGTACATGTTATGGTGGTCAGCATCATGAATCAAGACGACCATGTAAATTGGGATTTCAAAGGAATAAAAGTTTTTGAACAGCTGTGGAGAGGGGTGGGCGGGAGCCTGGGAGAAGAAGAGCTAAGTGAAAAATATTATCGAAAATTCCTTGATTATATTAGCTGTTTAAACAATAAAGTTTACTATTGCATGGAAACAGGTGCATTTCCACCTTACGCTGCAATGTTTTCATCGTCAGTGCGTTTTCCGTTGGACGTGTATAGTTAGCACTGTCTCGTTCACTGAGGCGAGAGCCCTTCCCACCTTCTTTCGTGTTAAGGTAAATGAACGGAAGAAAGTAAAAACGAATTATAAGTATGACTAGTCTTTTCCTTGTTATTCCTTCCTTTTTTTCAATGATTTTTATTAAATACGATTAAATGAATAAATAAATTGAATCTCGATTTTCGTTTAACACGCGTATGGAAATAAATCAATTTAATATCGTTAATGCAAAGTTTGTTTTGTTATTAACTTTAACATGATTAAAAATCATCTCACTGGTCAAATAATGATATTGAATAAAGTTATGTTTTTTTTTCTTTTTCATCAACTATTGTTTTCTTCAATTTATGATAATTTTGTTTACTTTTACACGTTAATAAGTATATATGAATTATATTTTGTTTATTAATTTAAATATATCCGCGAATGCACTCTTATAATTTTATTTCATTTACTACTTCAATTAATTTCTGATTAATTTCTAATTCTAATTTATATAATTTAATTTTTTTTTTTCTAAACTATATTCAACAATTATTCTAATTTATTCTATTTTTATTTTATATGATCTTATTTTATATATACCTGATTTTCAAGTACACGGTTTTTTTTTTTTATTTTAGTGTATATATTAATTTGGGTGTACATTTAAAACAGAAAAATTATGTCAAATTTACATTGAATATATTTTGTCGAAAATAAAAATAATAGATATAATGAAAAATAGTGTTTCTTTTTATTTCTTTTTTATTAAAAGAAAAGAAAAAGAAAATAAATTTTACGAAATATAATAGTACCACGATCTATAACTTTGTGCGTACAGTAAGTTACCTCTACCCCTTAGAAACGTGCAACGTATTTCCGGGGTAACGAACGAGAACGAGGACAACATGTGGCAAAAACTAAGTCGATATTACGATACTATTAGGGTTGGTGTAAAAATAATTATTGCTTTTAGTAACATTTTCAATTTGGTAATGGGTTATTTTTAATGGTTTTTTTCTTTTTCTTCACTCAACAATAATATATAATTGTATTTTTATATCAAAAGATTATAAACTCAAATATCTTCATTATCTCTTAGCCCATTCGCTACGGACATGTTTTCACGTAGCAACAAAACTGCACACTAAACGAAACCGATCGTCGTATTCATTTATATAGAATGTAAATTAAATAAATATCTATCAAATAATAATAATAAAAAATATATTAATATAATGTGACTGTTGTGATATAATAATGAAAAAATTTTATAAAATAAAAAATACATTAATATTATATGATAAGAGTATAATGAAAAACAGTAATACCATTAACTAAATACACGATAAATTAAACAATTAATTGTATGCAATTATTACAAAAAAATAAAATAAAATAAAGACAAACGATATAATAATACAATAATAATAATAATAATAATAAGATGATTAACAACGAGACGCGATAAATAAGAGTTTGAAATAATACATAAATAATCTAATAATAAAAAAAAAAGAAGTAGAAGAATATTACATATTAGCTAAGAATTACATCCCTCCCCCACCAGTGCTTAAAAATCGCAAGGGAACGAGAGGACCCAAATGGGTGTCCCGTCGCGATAGGAAGAAACGCGCGAATCTGAGGCTTTTTGCGAACCGAACAGCTGATCTCTTAACGGTCTTCGTATTACGGGGGTAGGTCAGTGCCCTTCGAGCGAGAGAGACATCCATGCGTAAGTATGCGAAAGGAAGAAGACTATACGTAGAGTATGCCGTTCACCAAGACGACGAATAGGACGTGAAAAAGAGAGGGGAACAAAAAGAGAGGGAGAGAGAGAGAGAGAGAGAGAGAGAAAGAGAATGAGAACAAGACAGAGTCTGGGCTCCCGCCAGGGCAAAAGAGGGCACCAACCCAACCAGCTTACCAGTCAGCCAACCAACCAGCCAACCAACCAACCAGTCAACCAACCAACCAACCAACCAGCCAGTCAGCCATCCGACGAAAAGGCAGGTGAGCACCTGGTCTAAAAGTTCGGCACGAGCTACTACTTGCCTCTTGGTTAGGAAGGGGTGCTCAACGGTCCTCATGTGACCACTCGAGGATTCCGTCTCAAGATGCTCCCAATAACATACAACTGAATCTATCGCATTTTACTTTTCCTATCGACACGGCTTCAAAGAGTTTCAAAGGCAAGCTGTTTTCAATTATATTACTTTCTTCCCAAACCCCTCCCCCCACCCCAAACCTTACTCGCCCATCACTCTCTCTTCTTCTATTGCCTTTTCTTAATAATAACCTATCTTTTTTTCTAAACAACAGACTAGAACAATAGACTCGTTGAATGACTTCGTTGAATTTATGATTTGATGTCTAGATTAATTTTTCGTAACGCGAGGTTTAACTGAAAGTTTTTTTATTCGATTAATTTGTTGTGTGTAAAAGTTTCAATTAAAATTTACTTATTGATTTTGTTTTTGTATTGAACTGTTACACATACGCCGATAATTATGACAGCGAATTAATTTCAAATAATCAACAATTTTTGTAATTTATTTTACGATTTATATTTGGAAATATAAATAATTTGAAATATAATATTTATTTATATACCATTTTTTTTTTGTTTTCACTCAGTTAACACTGTTATAATTATTAACGCATATGTTTGTCGCTCGATTTCTTTGTCTAAAAAAAAAAAGACATAAAAAATCGGAATAAATGTACTTTTCTATACTTTCACATTTTTTTTTTTTAAATAAAAAAATACGAACAACCAAATATTTTAACTTTTACTTGTTATTTTGATTAATTTGACAATTAGTGGTATACGTTAATGATATTATTTAAGAGCTGTTTAATTGCCAATGAAAACAAATATATTTTTAGCGAATTAGAGTTGAATTTAGGGAAAGGTTTTAAATAGAATGAGAACCGCGAAGTACTTAAAGACGATGGTCGAGGAATTCAAAGACGAGGCAGACATCCCCGGACTTCTCAAGGACGGGGAAATCCCTCTCACCCCATACCATCCTGTTTCTTCCCTGATACACGCCTCTTCTCGTAGACCAGCCCTGAGAGCTTATTATTAGTGTGTGTGTGTGTGTGTGTGTTTCTTCTCCGACCAACTCTTTTAAACAAATTTGACTTTTTTTTTGAAATATGCACGTTAGATTATTTTCACGAAAACAGAATTTTCAATCGCATGATTTAACTCTTTTATCGTGGATTATATACAAGTATAACTAATTTTGACAATTTTTTATATTTATCCATATCTTAAACGACAAAATTTCCGATCTTTAACAAAAGTTTACATTTTTTACAATAATAAATAAAAAATTGATAATAATTAAAGAATATGTGTAACTACAATTGTGTTTAAAATAAAGTCGAATAAAGAAAAGTTATAATACCGAATGCAAAATTAAAATTTAAAATGTAAAACTGGTTACTTAACCGGTCGTGATAAATATGTTAATTTAACTTTAAAATTGGATTTCTAATTGGGATTGAATTTACTTTTTATTTTAAAAAGAAACTAACTCGACTTCAATATTAAACTTACCGACAGTTTATTTATACCGTAACTGATCCGCTTAACGATCTTAAATAAATGTAGAGTTAATAATAAAAAAATATTTATAATTATAATTATTAAATAGAAACAAAAAAATAATGAAAAATGATCAAATTGACTACGGAATTTTAATTCAAAATTTATAAAACCGGTTAGTTGACCGGTCGTGATACGTTTAAAGTTAATGTAACTTAATAATTGGATTTCTAATCTTAATGAAATATTCATAGTTTTCTAAAAACTAGCTTGAATTTAACACTAAAACTACCGACAATTTATATAATATGCATTTACTTATTTATACCATAACCAGTCAACTGACCGGTATATTTAACACAAAAATTATATTTTTTTTTACAATTGAATGCAAATTATAGGGTAATAACTTAATACCGGCTTGAAAAATAAATAAAACAATATTTATGACTATAATTATCGCATAGTCAATAATTTCGAAAATAAAACAATAACATTAAATGCAGAATTTTAACTCAACATTTAAAACCGATTACTGTACGCGAATTATTAAAAAAAAATTATTTTATTTGATTGGTAAAAATCAATAAACTAGACATTGAAGTAAATAGACATTAAATTCAATTTTGTAATAGTTAAAAAAGAAAGTTTTTGAAAGAAAATATATTAACACAAGCAAATATAAGAAATAATAAATAAATCATAATAGAAATGTAAATAAAATTAGATGTTCTGCGCATAGAGATTAAATATAAAAAAATATATTTAACAAACTTATATACTAAAGAATATGATTTATAAAAAAACTTACCTAAAGACGGATCTAAATTATTTGGATCATCCTCTGGAGACGAGATCGTAGATTTATTGAAATCACGAATCATGTTAGTTACCGGTGAGACTATCTCTAGTGATTCTAGTGATAAATCTTCATGTTTTTGAGAAAAATTGTCTTCGTCCTCTGTAATTTTCCTTAACGGAACGACTCGACGCATATGTGACATTTTGTTCATTTATATGTCGTCTCAGTATCTGCGAATAAATAAAGACAAATTTTTTAATCTATAAAATGTCGAACATAAAAAGAAATAGAAAACGTTGATTTCTCTACGATGTAAAATTATTATATTTTATCATCATCAATTATTTTAGAATAGAAAAGTTATTTCGTTTTTTCAATTGTAAATAAAAGAAAATTTTTGTTATTAAAAAAGKGGCGCTTTAAATGATCTCAAATTGTTAGATTTGATAAATTCAACTTCTCGACTATTTCTCGCATTGTTATGCAACAATCAACATCCATTATTGACTTTTATTTTTATACTTCAACAGAACGACCTAAACGCACTGCATTAGTACCCTTACGGTAATAAAAAATTAAAAATATAAGGAAATGCTGACTTTAATTTGCCATTTCTGATGCGATACCAAAATAAAACTACTTGACAATTCGAAACACAAGGAGGTTTTAAATCACGTCAGAAATGTCTGTTGCTGGAATGTAAAATGATTTTAAGGTTTAGAGTAAGATTAAGTATCAATAAACGCAATTAATGGAAACTTCTGTACAAAAAACAAAATTACTTTTCGAACAACTTAATTTTAGAAATAATTTGTCAGTATTTTAAATAGATAGTCAATATTTAAAATAGGGGAAAGGTTGTATCAGGATTACGTGAGCTGCAGATTAATACAAGATGCATAATGTGTGTTATTTTATTATAAATATTATTAATTATTTATTTAAAATACTAACCAAAAATGTTAAAAAATACTGATCACATATAAATAGCAGTCAATTTTATTTTTTAATGCTATTTTACAATAATTTGCTAATAACTTATTTAATAATAGATAGTATAATAAATATTACTTCAAAAATTTTTTTTTATTTATTACCCTAAAAAAGAACTATCATATAACTTGGTATATTTATATTTGAGTGACTATGGAGGAAAAATGTACGAGTAACATTTATTTTTAATTTGAGATAAATGCATAAATAAATAATGTCTAATTTGAAATCATTCGCTTATATATCAAATATAAAAAAAACATGTTACTTCTACCTCTTTCCTTGTCAGCACAACTAAATAATAAAAAATATCAAAATTATTCTATTAGTTAGTAATATTATAAAACAAAAAAATAAATATCACCAAATTTAAGATCCATAATTCATTCTTTTAAATTCATTTTTATCTCATTTTAAAGGGTCGCCAAATTTCTGCATAACTTATTCATTTACTTTTAAACAATTTCAAATAAAATTGAATCCTATATAATTTTTCTAATAATTGAAAACATGAATTTTAATTTAAAAAAGAAAAAAAAAACCTTTATAAATCGATGTGTAATTTCAGAAATTCAACAATAAAATCTCGACAAAGAAGGCGTGGTATATATACACTTGATAGAGAGAAATATCAGCTGATTAATCGAGAGACCAAACGTTGACTGAGATATGCAGTTCAATGCCAACTGCGACGGTTGCCTGTTCACACACGACTCGACTTGTAAGTATTTATTTGCGAACGAACTATCCAACCGCGATAAATGTATATATATAAGTGTATATATGCATATATACACTTACTTATACATGATACATATATGTATATGTTATTTTATAAAATCGATATTTTCATATGAATGATATTTTTTCGTTAATCAACATTTATCATTAAAAATGTATTTACTTTAATTATAAAGCAAGTGCTTTTTATTGTAATCTATAATACAATATATAATAATATTATAATTAAACAATATGTGTGAATTTCCGTTAACGGACTTTACTAATTTATATATTAGCGTACATTTATAAATTCCTGTATATATACAAGAAATATTAGTAAAACGATAAGATCGTTTGAAAGATGATCGTAGCAAACAACAAGAGATAAAAAGAATCCAAATAGTGTGGCAACGATCGATAAAAAGGGACAAAAAATGGCACCCGGAAATCTACGAACGTTATCGATCTTTCTCTCTCTCTTTCTAATATATCAACGTTCACGACGACAATGACAAAATAATAAATAATAATAAATCTATTGAAAATATGACCGAAAAAAAAATCGAGATCAAAAATGATGATAAATCTAACGCGACGATCCTTATTGGATGGCACCTCGACATAAACTGACTGTCCGGCTTCACTGTCTTCTCATGGAAGGCGTATACTAAAGTGAGCATATTTGCGATAAACAAAGCACCAACTACGACCTCGAGACGCGGGATCAGGAAGAGGAGAAAAAAAAGGGAAGAAGAGAGAACGAACAGATCGAGGGAGGCAAACGGGTGACTGAAAGATGGTCGGGGTGAAGGAGGTGTAGGAAGACGGATAAGTGCGTGAACGAACGCATACATATATATATATATATATATATGAACATTTTTATGTGCATGTGAAGATATGTATACGTGTGCGTATACATATGTTATGTGTATCTCTATATGTTTATATACATTTATTTGGATTAACCAGTAAGTCCCCATGTGATATTTTTTAAATAAATCAATAGCAAAAACAATATCAACTTATTATTACAACCTAATATATGTGTGTGTTTGTAAATGTGTGTACGCGCACACATATGTGGGTGAAAAAGAAAAATAGATGAGGATTTATATATGTACTACACATACTACATAAATGTATAGGAGAACCGAATGTCGCCGTCTGGTATTATGGGGGGTCCAGACCCTTCGTAACAGTCGACAGTTTCGTGTGTGATCTTTTATGTGTATATATATATATATATATACATTATGTAGTATAAATGTAAAAGAGTTCGCCCACGATATGGCGAACAATCCGTTACTCGGTTACTCGAGCGACTCGAGAACAGTCACGCGGCAATCTCTTGTGTTACATGCACATATTCATGTATGTAGGGGGTGTAGGTGATAGTATATATGTGAATCATCTCGTGTAACATATAGGAGAAACATTACAGCTTCCTCCCTTACTCTTCGACCTGGACGCCGATTGGGTTGCCTACCCTCTAGGAGATTTAAATTTCAAACTGTGTTCTTGTATACGCTCGTGTGTGTGTGTTGTGTGTTGTGTACTTCTAATTTTTCGCCTGTTCAAAGTTTATGCTTAAGTTTATTGAAATGAATATTTGGAATTTTAATAAAGTTTTTTGTAAAATAAGTTTATATGAATAGTTATAAAAAGAAAACAGAAATAGTGTCAATAAAATACAGATCTGGTGAGATAAAATATGTGAAATAGAAGTGGAGAATGTGGCGGTTAATTTTAATCGTTTAAAATTAATACGTCAAAGGAATTAGACCGTTAGTTTCTAGGAAATTTAAGAAGGAACACTGCGCCCTTCGTTATGATGACTCGTACTGTTTGTGGGAAAAAGATGTTGGGGGCCGGAAAAATTTATTAACAGTATATTTAATATTAGTTATAATTAATGTAATAATACTTAATGACTGTATGGAACGGTAAATCAATAAACTAACGAAATGTACTTTGAAAACAATAATTAGATGCATAATTTCTCAAAAGGGCATATATTACGAGTATTTAATGTTTTTGGCTTCATATGATACAATTTATGAATTCCAAAGAATGCAAAGAATTATATACAATGATGCCTTCGGTCATTATTTAATATATTTATTCAACTAAAAGAAAAAAAAGGACTTTTTCTTTTATTAGTATGAAAAAAATTATTATCTACTATTAAATATATATATAAAAACATGATCATATGCAACAGGTCGTAGTTTTTTGAAATTGCACAATGAATAATAAATTATTTTTTTTTTATTTCTTTTTAATTCCCTATAAATTCAATAAATTTTATATAACATAAATCCTTTCTCTAAACACTCATGGAATAATATTAAAAAAAAAAAGAAATAAACAAATAGAGAAGCAAAGAGTGAAAGGAAAATAAAAATGAAAAATATAAGATCCTCATTGAACTCTTAGGAAAGTTATGGTATCATCTCTCTCGTTGGTTCACAAAATGCTCATTGACCCGTCGAATTTAAATTGATCAAATTTCATGTATATAATATATATCTATATATATATATACAAAACTGAATCTGGCGTATACGGTGACACAGGGTCTATCGCTGTCCGTATGTTCCCTCAAAAAATGAAATTAAAGAGGAGGATGAAAGTTACGTAACAATCACCCACATAGTAACAATTTTTAGTATTATCATTATTATCTTATTATACGCAATAAAACAGTTAAATAAAAATCATCTACTAATTAATTAATGATCTTAACACTTGATATGTATATGTTACCGTCAAAGTGGGAAATCAGGCAATACTAGTAAATCCTTGTCATTACTATGATTATGAAGAGCCTTCAGACAAAGTCGGAGATAAGACTTTTTCGAGAGTTTTTCCTATTCATCGAACATAATAATTTGATATTCTATAGAATATCAAATTACTATTTAAACAATGTTGAAAAAAATACATCCTCGAGCACAGGCCCGATGCAAACCCCCTCCCCCACAAACACACCGCTAATCACTCTCATATACATACACAAAAACGAGCATGGTGGAGGTTGTTGAGACTGTGTGTCCCTATAACGGAAAATTTGTATTCTTTGTCCTTTATCGTATCGGAAGATAAGCGGGTTTAGAATGAAAGTTTTTATACCTGCATTTTATTAAAAATCATTCGAAGAGCATACTAAAAAAAAAAATATTCTTATAACTAATTAAACACCTTTACTGCTCCGTGAATTCTTGTGTGCGAGTTTTTATACGTGGGTTTATAAGACTGTGCGCACTTGTAGAAATTCGAACTTATTCTACATTGGTGTGTTCTTATATAGGGCCCACTGTTAATTATCGCAGGTGAAGAATATTTGTATTTAATATGCTCTTAGAATGATTTTTTCGATAAGTATCTTCCGAATAATGAATAAATATAAATACACGCATAAAAAAAGAAACGATAAAGCACATTATTGAGAAAACATTCCTCAGTCTATTATTCTACATATAGAAAAACTTTAGTAATAAGAGTGGAAAAAATGATATTTTTAAAGAATAGTTAAGCGATAACTTAAATGACGGCTTAAAGCGTCATCTGACGCAAAAGTTTTAATCTATAATTACATTACTTACACACACACACACACACATACACAAATATACGAATATATTTGTCTATTTATTGTGTGTTTATATAATTTTATTAGCGATGATCAATTTAATTAAACAGCTTTTGGTTGTTCGGGCTGTTTTTCGGAGTTCATATCTATTTATTTATTTATATAAATAATAAATATATATATTCATTCAATAATAAATATAAAAATATATACATATATAAATAATGAATATTTATTATTTATAAAAAAAATGTAATAATAAGAAAAAGAATTATTTACTGGGTAATAAATAAAATTGGATATATATCTATATTCATATATATATATATATATAGAGAGAGAGAGAAAGAGTAGAGGGAGAGTTACCAAAATTGTATAAAGTTTACATTTATAAAATGTATAGAGAAGAAAAAAAAATTATATATATAATACGTACGTATATGTATGTATTGAGTCACCCAATTAATAGAAAAAGAAAAAAAAATTTATATATAGAACTTTTAAAGCAACAAAAATTTGACAAACAACCTGCCCTTTGAACTTAGAAAGTTCTCCTCCATATTTACTAATACAACGCGTTATCTATTAATCTTAAATAAACAATAAGAGCCGTTATAATAAACATCACACGTTTGTTTTGAAGGGTTATGTTCAAAGAATTAATCTAATTAATAAGTGCTACTTAATACAAATATTTGTTAAAGAATAGACGATTTATTAAACATGTATCTATCATTTGAACATGTGATTGTGAAGAAAAATATAATAATTATAATAATAATAATAATAATAGTGTGCTTACCTCGACGAGATGGTATGACGACGTGAGAATTTTGTTTGACAAGCAAAATTAAGGGCGTATACATGACAAATAGAGAACTATCATTTGATATTATTAGGTTGGAATCAAGTTCCAATATGACGATTAATTGTTAGCCTTTCATAATACTAACGTTTGAAATTAATCGTTTATCTGTAGGAGTCTATTAACAACGACATTATATGCGCGCGCCAAAACTGTAGCGCCATCTATCTTCAGAAAATGTGAAACCAATCGGAAATGTATAATTTAATTATTGAACTATAATTATCTTTTAAAATATTCTTTTCTATCCATTTAAAACGTGGAGATATATTAAAGAGATAACAAATAATTCAATTATGTAAAAAAAAGTTTTTGTTATCTTTTACTCGATATTATTAAGTATATTAAATATATGGATAATTTGAACAATTCGCGACTTTTTTTGAGCATATAAATTTTTATTAAGTTTGATTTATATTATTTATTTAGATAAGTATTAATTATTATTTTTATTTGTGCTTTACCGAATTTATTTATTTTATTTGTTTCATTTATTATTTATTTTAATTCATCTTTTTTTCCTCGTATTGGTCCGTTATATTTTACTCCTTGTAACGCTGAAAGACAAGTAATAAATCACTACTAGTGCATAAATATGCATTTAATTTAGCGAATTTGAAAATGAAAAAAATATCTGAATTTTTCTGAACTCAATAGCATCTACATAATTAGAATTATACAGATGTTAATCTTTTGTAAATGAATGTATAGAAAAAGATAATTAATTTAATTAAATTAATTAAATTAGTAATTGATTAAATAGAACAAATTTATAGTAGAAGAATATTAATATTATCTAGATATTAGTAATTTGATATTACAAAGGCAAGAAAAATTATTAATCGTACAATATCTCCAAACGAAATTTCGATAATTTATTTATTCGTGTAAAAAATTTGTGCGCTTTCACTTTTCACAAATTTCTTTTTAAAAATCGTTGATGTAACAACACATGCGTCGATTATAAATATAATAAAATATTCCTAACGTGTCCTGTACAACCAGGAATGTAACAATATATCATAAATTTATAAATATAACGATTACGACATTGTCGTGATATTTTCTCGATCTTAACATGAAAAGTATCGTTAATTTTAAAAGGCACGTACGAAGCTAATGCTAACACAGCTGCATGTAGTTACATAATTCTAAATATGATCATAATATACATATAGAAATTTTGTTTGTTTGTAAATTTTGCCTAAATTACAAAAGGAGTATTTTCAAAGGCGACAATAATAATTTTTGGAGCATTTACAATTTGTATTTAGGAAAAAAATAAATAAAGATTTATTAGTAAAGATGATTTTAATTATTATTATTGTCTGTCAAGAAAAGTTAGAACTATGAGTTGTCATTAAAAAAAAAAATCTTTTAATGGTCATACTTGCGCGTCTAGCACCGTCCAATTATTCCTGAGTTTTATTTTTTCTTTTCATTTTTTCTCCATACACTTTCACCGATTTCTTATCATAGAAATAAAAAACGATTTCATCCACGGACACATTAACTTATTAATATTTATAAGGCCTCTTTATGTTAATTTCATTAGAATTTCTATATAAATATAGAAATTAGACGAACACAATTTTTCATAGATATATATATATATATATGAAAATAATCTAGTATCTGTCGACTGTTTTTATCTATATAAACATATATAGATATAAAATGTAAGAAAGTTTATATATATATATTATTTCAAAGGAGAATTGAATGTTGTTAAAATATTAAATATCGAGATATTGTCATTATAATGAATAAAATGTTAGTTAAAGAATAACATTTTTATTTTGACAGGATTCCGATTGATTATTAATAGAACTCTCCTTTGGAGATTTTTGTATTGTCTTTGAAGTCATAATATAACTAGTCTTTACTACATTCATAACAAGATTTTTAGGTTTTGGTGGTAGAGGTGGTGGTTTTGATAATTTAGTAGGTGATACCTGACTATCCATAGAGACTGATGACTCTTGATATTTTGAATCCGTACGGAATCCATTTTCAACAATAGTCTGATCCCCGTCAACTATAGTTCCATCCAAAGTAAATGACGAATCAAGACCTTTACTCACAGATTCTATTGTATCAGGCACTGTTGTTAATCGTTCAACGATTCTACCATTTGTTAAATAAGTAGAACGTTCTTGCCCTGTGGATACTTCGTTTTCTTCTCCAGTATCATAGAATTTTGTGGTTCCCTCGCAATTGGTAGGTGTTACTCGTGCTCTTCGAACCTTGTTGCGATCCGAAGGTTTCCCATTTTCCTTGTTCTGATTAGTAATTTCATAGCTTTAAGAGTCGAAATGCATTATGACAATGAACTTAAGATTACGGTGAATGTAAGCATGACAACATTTCTCATAGAATATTTTTTTGTTTTTTTTTTTTTAGCAGTTAATATGATGTTTAACACTTATAAACTGTTAATATGATCTTTTGTAATTAATGTTTCCTTTTTTTCCTATTGCTAGATGATTTAAATCTATTTATCAATTGGGATAAGTTATGCAGGAATGCGCGATTATCAAAATCCATTTTGTGTTCAATTAATTTTATATCATTTTAAGAGTAAACAGATTTTTTTTTAAACTTATCCCAATTATAGCAATGATTTGAAATATAGTATATGTTTTGTTTACCTTTAAGAAATCCGGCAGTTCAAAATTAATTTCTGTCCCTCTTTGATCTTCCAACCTAGATCGTTGTGCCCTTTTTAATCCTTCATATAAATCTATAACAAAATAAAATTTTCAAGTACATATATATATATTCATTCAATATAATAAATTAAAATTTTCATCAAAGATTAAGAACTTACCATCACCGTCAAACCTTCCAGGAAGTTGCAATTTAACACCATTACGCCATTTTGCGATAAGAGGAGGATGAGGTCTAGAAGTTTCTTCACTAACTGACTCTGTAGTACCATTTTTTTCACTTCCTGTGGTATACTTCGATTTCATCTTAAACGTGTTGGAATAAAAATTTAATATCTTATAATAATTACTTTAATGTGTGTGTCACATAATAAATAGAATTTTTATACAAAAAAAATTATTGAACCATACCTTCTTTTTTCCATGCATAGTAGAATCACGAACAAAAAATTTACTTGGTAGTATAGAAGAACCTTCGGAACGTTGATCGTCGGACTGCGATATAAAAAAAAAAAAAGAACACATAATAATTTTTAATATAAAATATGTATATATGTATTAAATTAAATAGATTTTTGTATTTGTTGAGAATACATACTTTACACGAGCCTTCGTTGTATTGATATTTGCTTGCACTTTTTCCTACTAACAATTCTTCGAATACTTTATTTGTTATTTCATCTAAGGTTGGTTGTCCGCGTGATATTTCATCGGAATATTTGACCAAAGCTGGATCTCTTTGGGCATCTAAAATTATAATCAATAAATTCTTAGAAAAAAATTGATATATATACACCCAATTCTGTTTTTACACGAACTTCTTTTGATTTAACATGATCAACCCAAATTCTAAGAAGTAAATTTTGCTTTACTTTTATTTTTATAACTGCGACATTGAAGACGAGGAATTAATTTTACGTAAAAATCAATAAATAGTAAGTTATAGTTTTAAAACCTTTGTTTTATTAACCCCTCCCTTAGCCTACAATATCGCACATCTCAGATTATTGTCAAATTTTGCACACTTGTAGTAGTCTATGAGTATATTCATTGTGCCTTTAAACATGACGTATATATTCAGCCGTTTGCGAAAAAACGCAGATTGCAATTAGACAATCAATAAAATCTTTTTATGCGTAACTCATATTATGTTGCCTAATTTTTTTGTTCATAAATTAGTGACATTTTTTTTTTCTTTTCAAATGATAATTTACTTTACATATGCAATCTTTACGAAATAAAATGTTTAAAGTCCTAACATGAAAACTTATGGTTTATTGTATTATTTCTGCTGATTTCTTAGGACTGGAACCAATCTTCTATTTTTCCATAGATGCAATATATTTTTTTACACGAATTTTTTTTACACGTATTTTTCGGGAACGTATCTATCGTGTAAAAACAGAATTAGGTGTATATATACATGTATATATATTTGTATATATACTTGTATGTTTTTATTTATGTATATACTTCACCTTCACTATTTATAGTCAGCGTAAGTCTTGTGGGTGCATTAATAGCTGATATGTCCATACAAACACGATGACCTTCACTCCAAATATTAATTAAATCCAAATTGAAACCATATTTATTCAAAAGAGGCCTTAGTACTTCTTTAAGGGTTCTTCCCTTATGTGCAATCACAGTGATTACTCTACGCGAAGGTAAATCAACTTTTAAAACTTTTGTTGGTACAACTTCTACCTCTTGTCCTGCTAATACTGAAGAAGGATATTTTATATCCATTGGCTGAAAATAAATGAAATTATTAATTATAATAAGGGTCATATAATAAATTTATAACACAGTGTACATATATGATATTTCATATACATTAAATTATAGGCATTAGCAATATTTAAACCACCGGTATATTTAAAATTATACAGTAGAGTATTGATTATCTGAATAACGATAATTTGAATGACCATTAAAAAAAAAATTAAAATTAAATTGAATGTTCATATATATAGATTTAATATATACAATAACTATTAAGAGAAAAAGATTGGTGTTGAAATTAATACATAAATTAGATATCATTCTATTTAAGAATGGATGAATATAGATAAAAATAATCCAAGTCTTGAAATTATGAGGGATGATGATATTACAGGTAGCCCCAAAAGAATACGATTAATTGGTTCCGTGTTCTTTGAAACCATGTTGTTCGAGACTACAAAAAACAGGATTCCATTTCAAGCGTGAAAATAAAAAAAAAAAACGTTACGTCCAAAATTTTTTTTTCATTAAATATAAAACTAAAAATTTATATTTTTTGAAATCATATTGGTAAACACTTCTAAGAAATCTTGTATTACATAATTCAAATTAATTTGTTAATTAGTTTTGAAAAAACGTTTTATCTTAAATTTTTATTATTACAATAAAGATGTTGTTGTTTGGAAATAATTTTATATCAAATAATATATGTATTTTATTCTTTTTCAAAAGAATTACTCGAAAATCGTGTAGTTTGAAACCGTGTAATTCGGGGGAAGGTATCTTTGAAACTCGTGTTCTTCAAGTACCGTGTTTTTCGGGGGTTACCTGTATTTTATTTGTGCTTAACATAAATGATAATACTATAGTATTCGTAAAAAAATTGAGTCGTAAAACTGACCGAACCAGGATTCGAACCTAGAATCTTTTGCTTACCAAGTGACTGCTTTAACCATTGAGCTACTCAAGTCCTCTGGTCAACTTCTTTACGAATACTTATTATATTTGGCATAGAAGTGTTCGATCACACAATACAAATGTCAGTATAAATGAAGATATGAGGAAATATAGCACTATTCGAACACATAGCGAAGCTGTAAATGCATTGAATATTGCTTTGAAATGAGCAGAACATCAAAAAAAAAAATGAAATAGATATAATACAAATATTCATATTAGAAAAAATATCTTTCATCATATTAACTTGGCAGTATCTAAATACACTTTAGATATTGCACATTTCTTTTTATTAGATATGTATTCGTTCAATATAAACCATTCAGATTATAAAATTATTTAATTTTTAATCAATTTATGACATTATTAGGAATTTGATTCTCTCAGACTGATTATACGAAATGGATTTGTTTCCCAATTCATTTAGATAATCAACATTCTATTGTATTCTTAATATAAACTCCATTAAAGCTTTTTTTCCAAAATTATGCTTATCATATTGATATTAATTGCACATAGTCAGAGAATATTTAAGCATTTCTAGATCGGCCCCCCCCCCTCACTTTCATGACAATATATGTGCAATATAAAATTCGCTGATAGAACCAAGAAAGAGGAAGAAAGAAAGAGAATAATACAGTACGTGCAAAATACCAACATATCCCATAGTCTTTATCTATTTTCTAACAATTTCAATATAAGTGTGCTTAGCGATATCAGCCTGAATGCATACAAATATAACGTATTTGTTGATTTGTGTTAGTCATTTCACCGCTTTTTAAGTTGCATTATGTAAAAAAAAAGAGACACAAACCTCTTGTGAAGCTATCATAACAACATCATAGTTAGTATATCGAAGAGCTCTTTTATCAAGGAGGCGAGTAACCACATCTTTAATGCTCTCAGTTTGGCTAGTCTGCACTACTGTAGTTGACCCGTCAGACAATATTACTCGACACAACCCGGTACATTTGCTGCGAGCTTCTTTCTTTTCATTCAACTGTCCTTCGCAGGACGATACTGACTACAAGTTATACAAACTAGCTCACATATATGAGAATAATAAATAATAATTTAATATCTATTTCTCTGATATTAAAGCCATACTCAATATACGATATTATTAAATTAAATATAGTAAATTGAATTAATCAACTTGAAATACTATAAACTAACACACGTTTAAATAACTGCATATAATTTTTGTTTCATATGTAAAGAATAATAAAGATTTGTGTTGAGGTGTTTTATAATAAAAAAAAAATATATTTTCCCCCACACAATATCAGTATTATAGAATCTGAATAATATAAATTTCTTTTTTTTTTTTTTTTTTTTAAATATGTGTGTTATAATACTTACATGTTTGTTAAATGATTGCCTCAATGCCAAATCCCATGACGCTAAAGAGGACCTGCTACTAGATATAGATACGCTATCCTCATTGTTATTACCTTCTGCTTCTCTCTTGATGGTAGTAAAACTCTTGTATATAGTTTCACTTCGGTTGGGGGCTTTATTATACTCTGTTTCACCGCGATCTTTCGATTTTGATCTGTAAATGTAAAATTGTATAATATAAATCTATATTATCTAAATTGCTTATAATTTAGAGCAGCGTTTCTCAACTTTTATGGATTAAATTTTTAATAAGATACACAATGATACTATTTTACACTAAAGCTAAAAAAGTTATTAATTTGTAAGAAATTCTCCGGAATATTATTGTTGAATGTTCCTTCGAGTTTGTGAGAATATTGGAATAACAATAACAATAATATTCAGTGACTTCACTTTTATCAGTTTATTAAAAATTTTATATTATAAACACTTAAGCCATTACGAAGACTGTTATTTATTGGATTAGTATTTTTAAATATTTATCCAATTTATAAAATAATATATTTAAAAAGAAATAGAAATGTATAATAAATAAATGTGTTGATTCGTACAGTAAAAAAAAAAAAAAGGTTGAGAAACGCTGGTATAGAGGTAAAATAATAATTACCTATTTTTTCTATGCCAAGGAAGAATAGATTTCCGGCAACGGTCTTCCGCATCCGAATGGCTCTTCTTAAGTTTCACGCTAGGTGAACTAATAAGATTTAAATCATAATCTTCTATATTGATAGCACTATTTCCTGTTTCTAAACAATGACGATAAAGTTCAGACCTTAGAAATCTAGGGTAACTATCGAACTTCATTAAATTAAACACCTGCTTTTGTGCCTATGACAAAAAAATACCCACAAAAAATGAAAATTAAATAATAAAAATCCTACAAAGTGTTTTGTTTTGTAATTATAACTGTCACGCGTTTATATGATTTGAAAATTGACCAAAAAACAAAAAATATGAAATATACAAAAAAATTTGGTTTATTACATACTTGTAAAAAAAGATCCGCAGGGGCCTCATTAAGAAGTTCTTGCGTAATTTGTCCAGAAGCATGGCTGTCAACATTAACTGGTTCTGCAGCAGTATTTGACAAATGACGTTGGTAAATCTGCCAAGCTAATCTACAACGACTAATTGAGTCTTCCGTATCCTTATATCTTTCACAAGCAGCCCAAAAATAAATATTCTCATGACTAAATTCCTTTTTCAAAAATTCCTTTAAAAAAGTAAATACAAACTATCAAAATTATTTTGCGAACATTGTTTTAATTGAAAATTAATACAACACAACGTTTATTTTATACACTTAAGTACTTTCACACAAGAAAAGAAAAAAAAAATAAATTTATTCTTACTGCAAACGTCTGCAAACCCTTCGGATCTCCCAACAATTTTTCAAATCCATTAGCCCAAGTATGTACACTCTTACAATCGTTAACTTTGTCACATGATTCTGTACTTCCGTGCTGTAATTGTAAAAATAAAAGAAAAATAAAAGGAATTATTTAAAATTATAATAAAATATAACATGAACATTTGGGCACATTATTCTATACTTCCGCAATATAATTATAAAGAAATAATTTATTTTAAATTATTGTGTTATTTAATATATGTTTTTTATTTAAATTAACAACAATTTCCAAGCAAGCATACGATTGTACATTATAGGTTGTACGAAAATTTAAGCCAATTTGTTTAAGAAAATATATGAAATATTAAAAATATTTATCAGCAGAGGAATTTTTCAGTCAACTCGTTACAAGGATAAAAATCAAATTTGTTCACACGATTCTGTACTACCATGCCATAATTTTACAAAGGAAGCAATCATTTTAAATTACGACGATATAAAAATATAATCAAAAAAGAAGGGAAAAAGGAACAACAACAAAATAAAAAAAATGTGTTACATTTTATCCGTAACAAATGACCGTAAAAGCAGCATAAGAGAACGAAGTTGGCGTGCTCCGTTATGCATTGTGAACGATGTTGAAAGAACGGGAGGGTTGCGTATTAATAGTCAAATTAACAGTTCCTGTTTAAATAGACGAGAGTTTTAAAGAACTTAACTATACGATACTGTGTATAGTTTTATGTGTGGTCGTACAATAAAAACAAAAAGAATATTAAACAATATTCTTTGGAGCTCAAAATTTTAGAAAGAAACAATTTTCTACCGACAAAAAAGTTCATTGAATTAAATTCTTTTGTGAAATCAGTTTCCCTTGGAATTTGTAAAAAAAAAAGCTTAAATTCGTTGCGTCGTAAGTTAAAAATGAAAAAAAAAAGAATGTAAACTTTATATACAGCCAATAAAATCAATTTTTAAATCAATTTAATTTGTAATTTGCAATAAAAATGCAAATTTGTTGAATAGAATCTTAAAAAAACAAAGTAAAAACGAGATAATACTGTGGATTTTATACAACACTACAAATAAGATTAATTTGTGGGTCAGTTTTATTCGAAAAATATGCAGGAAAAGTACAAATTAATTGAATCGAAAGTTTAAAAGACAAAAAACTGTGAACTTTATACAATGCTAACAATAAAATTAATTCACGAATCAGTTCCACTTGAAATTTCTAAGAAAAGTGCAAATTCATTGCACCATAACTAACAAAAAAAAAGAAAATAAGAAAAAGAAAATACTTGTGAATTCTATACAATAATAAAAATAAAATCTATCTATAAATCAATTTGATTTGGAATTTGCAAGAAAGGTGCAAATCATTACTTAAAAAGACATAAAAAAAAAAAAAAGAAAAGCGTGGACTATATGCAACACTAACAAGACCAATTCGATAAGAATCTGCGTTGGCTCGTCACGAAACACCTGTTGCATGATGCCTTTTCCATGGTGAACAACGTGAGAATATACACAGAAGTCCCACGCGATATTCAATTCAAGTCCTGCTAGTTTCCCATGTATTTTAATGGGACGCGCTCGAGAGTTGTTACAACCTTACTTACAGACCGTGTGTCTCTAATAAATGCAACACAACGCGTACAAGTAATAAAATAAAATACAAGAGAGAAAGAGAGAGAGAGAGAGAGAGAGAGAGAGTGAGAGAGAGAGAGAGAGAGAGAGAGAGAAAGTCATATATATATATATATATACAAAGTCATAAATATATGTATAAAGTATTATAAAATAAATCTAAATTATAACACAGGAAATGTGA